ATTTTTATTTTGTCATTCTTTCTACACATTAGATTGTGTTCAAATTTTGTATGTAAATACCTCTCTCTGTCTGATACAATATAAAAATATATATAAAAAAAATAAAATGACCAGAAAAATATTGAGATATTTTAGTCATTTAACTATTTAAAATTAGTATTTTAGCATTTTATAGATATGTGCAATGATGAGAAGTATAAAATCCCATAATTCAAGAAAAATCCGAAATAAAATCAAAACATAAAATATTAAAATAATCTTAACTTCCACATCAAATAAGGGACAAATCCCATAATTCAAGAAAAATCCGAAATAAAATCAAAACATAAAATACTAAAAATAATCTTAACTTCTACATCAAATAAGGGACATTTATTTAAGTTTTAATGTATTTTCATCTATATGGACAGGAAAAAACTCTCTTTAAACTTGTTTCTTATTGGAGGGGGTTCATAGTTAATGAAGGGAGGGTGAGGTGGGGATTTCTAGGGCTTGGATAACAGTGTCACTAGAATACTAAGCACATGAGTGGTTTGGAGGAGAGAGGGATAGATTCTACGAATGAGGTTGGGGAAGAAGATGGTGATAGCTTTCTTGATCCAATGGTATCAATAAGGTATGATTTATCAGTTGGTTTACTCTCTGGTATGAATTTTCCAGTTTTGGGCTCTTTCTCCCTCCTTTGAATGATATTTTCGGCTTGAGTGATTGGGCTAAAAGAGGATGGGGCTTATCATATGCAACGAAGGTTAAAATTATGAGGGAGAATAAGGTAGTGTTCTTTTTTGGCTCTAGAAAATCGCTTTGTTAGAGTCAAAGGTAAGCTTTTGTCTTTAGATTTTTGGAAACCTTCGTCCCATTTATCCTACTTGCGAAAGTAAAGTCAGTGGTTGAGATTGTCAGGTATTCCTTTCAATGCCTAGACATTGAATACTTTTCATAAGTTGACTAATTGTTGTGGGGAATTTTATGATATTGATAAGGAATCTTTTTAAGGGGTAAATTTAAAGTATGTGAGGATTCGCACTTAAAAGTTGTGTGGGGCCTCCATTCCTAAATGGCCGAGCCTGCACATCAGTCAAGATTTGTTTTCTATTAAGGTTTCTTTAAAGGCAAAGGTTATTCATAAGGCTACACTTGGGGGTAAGGTGGTTTCAGATTTTCCTTTGGAAGCCGGGGGTTGGCTAAAGGTTTCTCGCAGGCATCATGCTGCTCAGGTGATGAATACTCAAACTATTCCTGGCAAAGTTTTTCCAGTGGCTGCTCATCGGAATTTTCCTAGGATGACTGATCATCGCAATAGCAAAAAAGGGAAGGTGGGATTTCAAAATTTAAAAATCTATAAACGGTAGATTCCAGTGAGCCATTTCATGAAAAATTCGGCAGGTTTTTTGTCAAACGTTTCTGCTGATGGTGAGGGTCTACAAAGATTTGTTGACTGAGAGGGTTCACCAAACTATATTGTTCATGATAAGTCTAAAGAGAATAAGGTTAATGGCATATCTCTGCATGGAGAATTTGAGGCTCAATTACCAAAGAGAGGGATGATGAGCATAGTACAAGACGTGGTGGTCTGCCCTGTTTTTATACTAACGAGATTGGAAGAGGGAAGGTTACCTTCTTCCTCTCCCTCAAAATTATCTGTTGCAAGTTTGTAGGTGGTGATTTGGGACTATTCAACTATGGAAGAGGCATTGGATGAGACCATGGAGGAAGTGCTGCTTCTGGAAGAAGCCTACTTCGGTACGAGCAGAGATGGCCCAGGTTCCTCATCTGCTAAACATTTTTAATGATTATTCTTTTATAGAATGTAAGCGGTTTGGACGATTTCAAATGTAATAAGGACATTATTTATTTGGTTTGTAAGTTTGAGCCTACTGTCTTAATACTATAAGAAACCAAACTTCCAAGTCCCAGTTTATCTGGTGTCAGTGACGTTTGGCGTTCTAGGGCAATGGTTTTTGTGGGGATTGACTCGGTTGGGGCTTCTGAGAGACTGTTGATTTTGTGGGATCCATCAGTTTTCCAATCTTTTTGTTGTGTAAAAAAATAAAACTTTATGGTGGTTAGTTTTGTGGGGCCAAATTCTGATTTTCAATGGAGGCTAATGAATGTTTATTATCCCCAAACCTTTGCTCTGAAAGACGTTTTGGTTAATGCCATGTCAGATTTCCTTCATAACTTTGACCATCTGATTTGTTTAGGGGGGATTTTTAAGGCGTCTCAAGGTCTTTGTCAAGGTGATCATCTTTTCCCTTTTCTCGTCACTATTTATGCATAATGCTTCAGCCTTCTTGTGAAAAATGTAGAAAGTAGAGAGCATTTTTCGGGCTTTCAAATGCCAAATGAGGGGCCTCGTATTTCTCATTTGCAATATGCATATGATATTCTGTTGTTTTGGGAGGCTGAGGTAGATCAGATGAGCACTATTACTACTTTTTTAGTATGTTATGAGGTGACCTTAGATCTTAAGGTTACTTTTGAGAAAATTGCAGTGATTCTGTGATTCTTGAGATTGCTGAGATGTTGGGATGTAAGGTGGATAATTTTTCAATCATGTACTTGGGTATGCCGATCTCAGATGGTCGACTCCCATTGGCTATTTGGGACAAAGTAATCCAAAAAGCTTGACCTTTGGAAATATAAATACCGTTCTATGGGGAGAAGGATAACTTTGGTAAATGCATGTTTGTCAAACTTACCAATATATCAAATGTCTAGTTTGCAAATTCCTTCACCGGTGGGCAGGAAAATTGAAAGTTTAACGAGGAATTTCCTTTGGGGTTTGTGGATAATAAAAAGTATCATCTTCTTAGATAGGATAGAGTGTGCACACCTAGAAGAGAGGGTAGTTTAGGAATTAGGAAAATTAAACTCGTAAACCAAGCCTTACTCTGTAAATGGTGGTCGAGAAGCTTAAATATCAAAGATCAACTTTGGTATAAAGTGACTGCCTTGAAAGAGATGATAGATTTAGTATATGGGTTGGTTCGAGGAATGGTACTAGGGGGATGTCATACTACTGAAGATCTATTCATTCTTGTAAATCTTCGATTCACAGGGACATTCAATGATGTTTGGGAGATGGAAGCAATATCTCTTTTGGGCACCACAAATGGTTAGGTTCATCACTTTGAAATATGTTTTTCCACTGGTGTTTCAAAGAATGGATAACCCCAATGTTGTTATTGTTGATTCTTGAAATATGTTTTTCCACTAGTGTTTCAAAGGATGGATAACCCCAATGTTGTTATTGGTGATTCTTTTGAGATCAAGGGTAATCAAGTTGTGTGGAATATCAACCTTCCATACAACAGGATTTCGGATGACATATTTTATGAATTCTCTAGTTTGTTGACGTTACTGAATGAAGTATATATCCCTCAAAATGCGGTTGATGAGATTATTTGGGATTTTGATAAAGATGGAGTTTATTCGACAAAGTCAATGTATCAATTGTTGCTCTATGATTGATGGAGATGGTCTATGCCTGAGGTTGCTATTATTTGGAAGCGACCTTAACCGCTTAAGGTGCAAGCATTCTTATGGCGGGCAGTGCATGATAAAGTACTAACTATTGATAATCTCATCAAAAGATGGAAAATTTTACCGAATATCTGTCTCATGTGTAAAGGTCGTGGTGAAATAAGTGCTCATCTGTTTCTCTATTGTCCATTTACATTTAGAATTTGGTATTAGTTTTTTGCTCAGCTAAGGATAACAATGGTTATGTCTTCGAAGGTGAAGGGGATACTATCAAATTTATTGCTTTCTTTTTTATTGCAAACAGGTCTAGTGATATGGTAAATCACGAGATATGTGATGTGGGATATATAGAAGGAAAAAAATAAGAGAGTTTGATGGGATAAATTTACCCTTTAAAAGAATGTGATGTGGGAAATATAGAAGGAAAAAAATAAGAGAATTTGATGGGATAAATTTACCCTTTAAGAGAATTTTGAAGAAGATCTTGCACATAATATGGCTTTATCTATCAGTTACAAAAGTTAAGCAAGATATATTGGAAATGGATATGAGGATAAACTTATCCAACCTTTTTCAAATGGGCTTTATCAATTGTAGGCCCAAGGGAAAATGGATGCCACCAATGATAGGCTCTTTAAACTCAACAGGCAAGTCGTTAGAAACCTAGTCTGTCGGGTTTTAGAAGAGTGGTTAATGTCCGGGATGGAAATATAGTTTTTACTTCCGCATGTCTTCTTGAGGAGAAAACTACAAAATATGTAAAATTCCGGGCCCTCCTTCATGGCTTGCAATTTTATATGACTAATAATTTAATTCCTTTTTGTAAATATTTTGTGGTTGACAATTTTTGTCTTTTCTATGCTATTGAAGGTAATTCCTTAAATGTCATCAAATGATGTAAAAAGGAGCAAAAATCACCTTAAAAAATGAAATCTAAACTCTTATGGATGCTGTACTCATCTAGACCCTTTAACGGTCGCTTTCTATCGAAAAACCAATGTGTTGGCAAATTTTCTTGCCGAGGGATACTTTTTTAACTGAAACAATTGTATTGACTCCATAATTTCCTTCTAGTCTCCTCTAATAAAATCTTTGAATTCCTAAAATAAAAAATTTAAAAACAAAAAAAAAAAAGTTGTTTCTTATTAACTTAGATATGCACATATGTCCACACCCATGTGGCTATTGTTTCCTCTTTTTCACACGTGCATAATTCTCTCTCAAACATCTTTTCTTCAAATTTATGATTAACATGGTTTTGATGATGAATCTCTAAAACTTTGAAGCAAAATCCATCTTTTTAAGGTGAATTTTTAATCGAGAGCTGCACATGTACACGAGTCAGACGCGTATATACCTCATACTTTACTTTTAATACAAGAAAAATACAATCATTTTTGTCTATCAAATTTTTAAATCAAATGATAAGTATGTTATTGATTTGACTCAAAAGTTCAGAAAAATATTTCTCGAATTTTATGACATTGCCCCAAACCACCCAATTTGACATATAATAACTCTTAACAACCAACTTCTTTGTAACAAAAATAAATAGTCTCATAATATACAATCCTATCCATGTCCATTGACCATAAAAACAACAGCCACCCAATTTTAAAAACAATAGCCACCTAAAGTAGCTTATAACAACAGACCCCATAGTAACAAAAATAAATATTCTCATAATATACAATCCCTTCCATGCCCATAAACCATAAAAACAATACAAAGTAATGGATAAATGGCTCCTGAATTAACTTGTTCAAAAGACTACCTCATAATACGTTTCAAAATCGTTGAAGGGGTAGTAGGTATGGATAAGACTCACATGAAGAGTACCAATAATAAGTCATCTCATTCTCTCTCTTCATGTGCTTTTGCCATGTCCCTTTCTATATTTTATTCATGTCTCTCTTTTCCTCAACGAAATAAACATTCACTCCCGCAACCATCACGTTCGCACCTCAAAACAAAACCCAACCAAAAAAAATTCTAAAAATAGAGAGAGACATAGACCTGACCCATAGAAATGGAGATACAGAGTGTACACAACAAAGGGACTTATGCAGTGTGAGAGAGAGAGACAGAAAGAGAGAGAGAGGTGTTCCTCTACCCATCAGCACCGTTGGCACTGGTGCTACCTCTCCTGTTGGCCGTTGTGTTCTTTAATATCTGACGAAACAAGTAAATAAACAACTTTAATGGAGCTACGAATCGATATCTCAAAATGCACATCATGCTAAAAACATGGAGAGAGAGAGAGAGAGGCGATGAAGAAAACAGCACTAGAAAGCCGCAAGAGAAAGACTAATAAAATGCCTTGCATCGAGTGAGAGACTAATAAATAAGGGAACTGCCAGCGCACGCTCACAAGCTCACCTCTTTACAAGAGCTCAAGCTCAACCGTTCAGATTCAATTTGAATCATAATCTTTTATTTTATATTTAAATTTTAATTATTTGTAATAAATTTAAATTATTAAAAATTTTCCAAATATATTATTTAAAAAATTAAAAATACCTGATAAAAATATAAAAAATAAAATAACACCCCTTTGATAAAAATATAAAAAATAAAATAACACCTATGTGTGAACAGATAAACCTATATTCAATTTGGGTATAATCATTATTGTATTTTATATTTAAATTTTAATTATTTTTAATAAATTTAAATCAATTAAAATAAAATATCTAATAAAAATATCAAAAAATTATTTATAAAAAATAAATTAATCAAAATACCTTCAAATCGTATCAAATTTTTCAAATCCCAACGTACCCTCTAACTTTCAAATGATAAAAATACAAAATGATAAAAAATTAAAATAGGGAGGGCTCTGTGAACTAGTGGACCTACACCAACATTTCCCAATAAGTAAATAAATGCCTAGAGCATTGAGAGAGAGAGAAGGGGAGAGCGTAGTGATTACAAGTCTTAGCATTTGGTTCTCGTTTTGCAAGGTGGAGACGCGCTCTTCAAGTTCAGAATTCTTCTTCTCCATCTGCTTCACCTTTACCTCCAACTCGTTCAAGTACGCCTTCTTTCTCTCTCTAGCCTGTTGCGCAGACACTCTATTCCTCAGCAACCTTCACCCCCAAAACCAAAACCCACAAAATTAGTAACTTCAAAAACCCACAAAAGATCAGAGAGAACCCAGAAAATCTCAGACCCTATAGAGGATAACTGAATGAGAGACATTAAAAATCAAAAGGCGAGGTAGTGTTGTGTAGTGAAATAGAGGGAGAGAGAGAAAGTGCGACACCTTTTGAGTCTTTTGTGCTCTTTGTCGGCTGGGCTTCGGCCCCTTTTCCTCTGATTTGTTTCCGCTGGCGGCCTTGATTCAGGGTCCCTGCCCGAAGTAGAGGATGGTCCCGCACCCTCACCACCCATTTCGGGTACTCTTCTGATCTCATCGTCACTCTCTATTCCTGCTTTCTCTCTCATCATTAGTATCAAGTATCAACTATTAACCACCATATCTAGTGAGAGAAAGGAAAAAGATAAAAAAAAAAAAACTTTTTTTTTTAGTTGATCGAATATATTTAATAAAGATTCAGATGAAAGAGAAAGCGGAAGGTCTTGTCTTATTTATGTTAGAAAACGAGTTAACCTGATAGCCCAAACAAACATTACAGAGAGAAAAAAGGAGCTTCATGTAAAATTAAACATGGGAGGGAGAAAAAGTGAGGGGAGAGAGAGAGAGAGATAGGGTTTATTTATAGAACTGAAACAAGTAGGATGAGAGAGAGTAGAAGCCAATGGGAATCTCTCAAACCCAAACCAGATCTCAGAGTGAAAGAAATAATAAAGCAAAAGGAAGAGAAAAAAGTCGAAGAGTATGAGCAAATCAGAACTCATCTTCTCGTCAATCCTTTCTTTCTTTATTCAATGAAACCCAACAAAGGGAAAAGCAAAACAACCAATTGGGAACCCAACAAAACCCCTATAAACGCCCCAAAATTGAAAATTAATCCAAAACCCACAAAAACTCACTGGTAAAAACGGACAAAAAAAACAAATAAAAAAAATCAATAAAACCCACATTAATTCCAGTAAATATAAATATTCAGAGAAATAAAAAGATAAATAATTTTCTACAAAAACCTACAATAGCTAAAGCTAGAGAGATAAAGATCCAATTACAAACCCTGAAAAACCCATGCAAATCTCAAAGTAAAAGGAAAACACCATGACAATAAAATGAAAATTTTACCTTCTTTCACTTCAGGGTGGAGTGCAGAACTCGAAGATCTCTCACTACTGGAAGGCAATGAAGTCGCTGCTTCTTGCATCTCTCTCTCTCTAACCTCTCTATCTTTCTCTCTCTACGCACGCAGACAAAGCATAGATGGTAACAGTATGAATGTGCACAAAGACCGTGCACTGCTTATTATTACTGTAAGTAAAGTGGGGTTTGGCTTGTGGGGTTTAACCACATCTACAACCGTTGGATCTTTTGAGATCGGATGGTAGAAACTTACCGAACGTGGCTCACGCATAGCCTCGGGGTTCATGCAGATCCAATGGATGAGAAATGGGGACGTGGTTTCTTACTAGACGTTCGATTTTTCGTAGATGGTGAAGATGCATTGAATGTTCGCCACATTGCAATTAGATGACCTTTGTCTGTAAATTACTATAGTGCCCCTTTGTAATGTGCCCTTCGATTATCTGAAAAGTCAAAAAGATTTGGTGCATTTACAGGACAATTTTGCCTATTTGTGCATTCACAGGACAAGTTTTGGGGATGTAATTCCTTCAACCCATAGATTTAACCACCAAAAAAGATAAAAGAAGGGAAATTTTTTCCAAATCGCACCAAATAAGGTGTCATTCTTGAATGGGGGTGGTTTGTATAAGGTTGAAACTTTAAATGATCTAAATAAGGCGCACCTCCAAATTTTATCATAAAATAAAATTTTGGTGTCAAAAATTTTTAGAACTACTTGAAAATCAATTTTCAACTCTGATTATAAAATTTTAAAATAAAAAAACAATTCAAATCAAGTAGATCTAGAAACATATGAAAATCTTGAATGGATGATTAGATAACGTGTTGTAAGTGCACTATTTTTGGGATTTGAAATCTTTATCTGTTTCATATCCATATATCTCGATGATCAATTAGAGGGTTTTTCAATATTAAAACAACATTTTCGATAGATTTTTGAGACGTAACCTTAATTACACATTTGAAAGTTGCAACATCGTATAAACCTTTTCCTTCTTGAATAAAGACAATTCAATTCTTGGAGGTGGAGTTAGAGAACTCAAAATCATTTGCCCAAGAGAGCAAATATATAGTAAGGAAAAAGTTTATATAAGGTTGCAACATTAAAATGTGGAACTAAGGATGCACATAAAAAATCCATCCGAAAAGGTTGTTTTAATGTTGATAAACTCTCTAATTGATCATCTCGACATCGAGATTCATAAATATAAATAGTGCATCTTGCAACACATTTTCTAGATTTCAAGTTTATATTTTGTAACATATTTTTGGACTGTCAATTTTCAAGTTTTCATAGATCTATCGATCTACACTATTTTTGAAGCTTTAAACTTTATAAATAAAGATAAAAATATATTTTAAGGCTATCACAAAGATTTCCAGTATTGAAACCATATTTCTATACTATTTGAAGGTAGGCTCTAATTTGATTGTTTAGAGCCTAGACTCTATACAAACCACACCCTTAGATATGACAATAGCTTTTTAGATAATCCTAAGAATGTTTACACCAAAATTACATAGTACGATAAAATATGGAGGTGCCCCTTAATTGGAATGTTTAAGGTTGCAACTTTAGAGAAACCACACCCATATAATAAAGCTCTTGCAGGAGCATAGTATACGACCTGAAAACTACACAATCAGAATTAGTGATATGGCGTTCGTGTTATCTCTTTCTTCAACTCATTTCCCTACTTCAGTGGGATTATGCTTTATATTTACGCCTTGGATTAAGTAGCTCTTTGAGAATAAATTTTGGGATTTAATTTAAAATCACCATATAATAATTTTTAAGAAAGGAAAAATCTCTTATGTTATTAAACAGTTAAATTTGACCTCCAAAAAATGGACTGAGTTCAAGAATTTAGGTCAAATGTTCTATTTTGGTGGGGGTATTGTTGCATGGGCTCCATGAATACAACAAGTACCTCAATTTTCAATGTTGGATTGGATTTAATTGTTATGGAGTTTACAAGCAAATAGCTAAGAGACTTATCGGTACACATACCACTTGCTCAAAGGCATATCAATTTATTGTGATTGTGAAGCGGACATTTGCAAATAGACTAATAAGATTCACAATACAAAGTCGAGATTTTTTTTTTTCCATGATTGTGAAGCTGACATTTGCAAATAGACAAATAAGATTCATGATACAAATGCGAGATTTTTTTTTTTTCTTTTTTTTTTTTTGAGTGTTCAAACTTCAAGGTCAAGATATATCCGCTTGAGGTGTAACCAATTACAATTCATAGGAATGCTAATATTGGATCAATATATCTGGTTGATGTGTGCCTAGGTAAGGGTATTGAGTTCAAGCCTAAAAGCCATCCAAGGTTATTCCAAATTGGAGAAGTATGGATCATAAATTCCAGAAGTTCGAATCACAAACTCCTAGTCCTAATCTAGGCCCACTCCTAGCACTGAGCCTATGGTCCGTTTTGATCGAGTAAGTTATTTAATTTTAAATCTTATTGTATTTCGTTGCAATGCACGGTAGCACTATTTCAAGATTCTACCCAGCGTACCTGGAATCAGCTGAGTAACTCGGACTCGCCCTATGGGCGAGGCGAGTTTATCTCGAGTATATTGTACATGATTTATATATATATATATATACAGTTAATGTACGCCCATGTGTATACTGCTATAGTAAACACCTAACGGCTTGGATTGAATTTGGGCCGATCTAACGGTCATGGTTGTCCGAAAGTGTTTGAATTTTAATTTTTTTTCTACATATCAGAATGATTTATGATCTGAAATTTGGAGCGTGTGTACATCTTAGTGAGGTGCACCTAATAACATCTTAGTGAGGTGCACCTAATAAAAATATAAAAACAATAATTTGGAGAAACTAAATTGACCAAAATACCCCTGAAACTTTTAGGGGGTACTTTGATCAAGTTGTTTCATGTAAAATATTTTTTGTATATTTTTCACAGATTCACCAATGTTTTATGAACACAAAAATTTCAAATCATTCTGATTTGTATATAAAAAATGAAAAAAAATATATTACTAGACATCTGTGATCGTCATATCGGTCTAGATTCGATATGACCCGTTCGAC